TAGGATACAGAATATTCAGTTCTCAGAAGACTGAGAATTTAGACGCATATAAAAATGTCTCTGGATATAAGATTTTTGAAAAATTATACACATATAAACTGTTAACTGTTATAGAAAGCATGCTTAACAGCAGGTGGAAATTTTTAGGTTAGTTAAAAAGCCCTTCCTGATAACAAGACTTGTTAAAGTGAGTAGATTACTGAGCAGGTCTTCATAGGCCAAACGAAGAGTGCTGTTTTATGACATGATGGACCTGGAATGTATAAACATTCAGAATAATCCATCATTTTCCCCTCAAAAAAAAAAAATCCCTTAACTTCTATATCTAATGGAAGACAGGAATTTTTTTCAAATTCAATTCTCTCAGCTATCTAGTCACTATTTTGCCTCACTTTTGTCAGCGACCTTGATCACAGAATATTTTTTGATAGCTTTTACAGAGGGTAACTTCACTGATTAAGATAAACAGTTTAAAATTTTAACTCTCAACTGCTTGACAGTTGAGAGTTAAAACCAGGGAACTGCCAAAATAATTTTCTTTTATGTTGCATTATTATAAAGTGCAGTTATTATTTTTTATCCTTTCACATACTAAACAGGAGAGATGATAGTGATTTTTATGCTAATTTCCTCGTCTTTAGCTCAAAGTGATCTCAGGCAGGTTGAAACTTTTGGTTGGTCTGAGTGAGTGAGTCCAAAAGTACTGCCAGAAGCTACTGCCTAGAGGTCAAAGGTATGGTCTTAAGACTCAGAGAGGCCTGGGCTGACTCACAGCTCAAACTGCTAGGTTTGACCTTGGAGATCAACCTCTTCTCCATTCCTAACCTGCAGTGATAATAAGACTATCTCCTCTATAGGACACTTAACCAGGCTTCAATGAGGTAACATATTTCAAGCACTTGACACGGTGCTTAGCACAGAAAATGGAACAGTATTAATAGTATTATGTCTTATATTTGTTTTTAGACTAGTGACTTACAGTGTGTTGTTGATTCTGTCAGTCTTAAAAGAGGACCTGACTCCCTGACCAAGCAACCCTATTCCTGTCTGTTCTTCTAAAGTTAGAAGAGGGGAGAAAGTGCCACCTGGTACCTGAAGAACCATTTCCCGTCTGCCTCTGGCCTCTTGTACAAGACTGTCTATGGGAGCTAAGGGACTTTTTCTTCTTTTAAAGGTATCTCATTCAAGTTCAAAGACTTATCCTTCATTCCACCGAACACAAGCTATAGTCACAGTTTATGATGCCGTATTTGCTGTAATGCTTTGTTGTAGCTGCTAAAATATTCACAACCTCAGTTATTGCTCAGATCTTAAAAGAATTACAAGGGGAAGTCAAACTCCTTTCTTCAGTAAAATGCAGAACTAGGAATAGTCCCATTGTACAATAAAAACATGAAAAGCTTAAAAAAATACATCTATCTTTAGATCATTAAACCATTACAAGGTCAATCCAGATTCTTTGATTTAACTAAGACCCTTGCTGATATTTTTAAAGTACGCTAAATCCCCCACATTTTAATCTATGTACATTTCTAGCCATGGATTTTTAAAATCACATTTGAATATATTATTATTGTATCACCTCAAATCCAAGATGCAATTTGTAAAAAAGTTTCACACTTTGGAAATTGGGATATGTAAAATTATGTTGTGGTGGTTGGTACTTTTCCTTAAAAACTTAAACTAATAGTGTACCTTGTAAATGATGGAGTCTTGGACTTACAGAGATATGAAATTCTAAAATCATCTTGCTTTGTGACTACTTTTACCTTGCATTAATTATTGGCAAAAGGGACAAGTTAAATATATAATAAGAAAGATAATTTAAAAGGCATCTTTTAATCCACATTTGTACATGTGGATTATAAGCCAACAGTCTAGTTAATATTTGGACTCTATGTTTAAACATTACTTTAAAAGTTCCTTAGATTTCTCCAAATATGATAGGATTTGTATTTGCAAAAGATCCCAAGGAGAGAAAGAGCCTCCCTAGCTAGTTTCTAGAAACCCCTTCCCTCATTTTCAGGGCACCTATTTCTTTTGAGGGTCCCTGTGAATAGCTCAGGTGGCAGTCGTACCCAACACTGTCAGGCTGCAAGATCACACAGCATTAGAAAGTGAGTGTGCACAACATAATGCTGGGCACACGGGAGTTATTCAATAAATACTTTCTTGTTCACTGATGTGAAATACAAAACTGGGTTCTAATTAGTCACACATATAGCTTTCATCATCTGGGGAAAACAAAATTTCTAAAAATGTTCTCCTTTTTTTTCATTTTTTTCCCCATCAAAAATCCTTTGAGTTAACTTTGGGACCAACTTTTACCCAACTAAAAGCCACCAATAAATAAAACCCTAAAAGTTCTTTTTCCCTTAAACTATAAAAAGAAATTTTTTTTTTACTATTTTGCTAGTGAACACTGAAAATTCCCACACTTAAATGCAGAACACTGCTTTCACAGAACACTGAATCAGAGAGGGAAACTCAATGATAAAGTTAATGGAATGAAATACAATGTTAAAAATTGAAGATGTAAAACATTGATCAAGAACCAATGAAATTTAAACAATTGAAATTACTGACGATTATCTTTAGGAATACTGGCAACCCTTAGCAATTATGTAACATGTTGGCTGGCAAATATTTTAATCAACTAAATTGAAAAATAATAACCAATATCTAACTGAAAAGGAAACAGTATAAGGAAGAAAAAATAGGAAGAGAAAAAGATGAAAGGAAGGGATTTACTTTCAATATTTAATTCAAATTAAAAAAATCCTGATCACTAAAAGTTTACAATCTACAAAAAGTTATTTGAATGCTGTCATTACAACAGGCACAGAATCAACTATTAGATCCTAAATCAAAATTATTTCTATGCCTGTTATCCACAAATCATGATTAAGAAACAAATTCCAAATACCACTAAACCCATTTTGTTATTTGTTACCTAATCCCACCAGAGCTAATGGACATAAAATAACCACAGAGTTTACAGACAAGGAATAAAGGTGATCTGTTTTGGCTCATTTTTTTCACCCACTTACAGAAAGAAAAAATAAATAAACTATATGCTTGATTTTTCAAAATTAAAATGATTTAAGAGGTCTCCCACTTTTTTAACTCTAAGCATAACTGATAAGCATAATAAGAACATTAAAAAATTCTTCTCATATGTTTGGCCCCACAATTTCAGAAACTCTGAGATAGTCTATTTTAGGCTTCATTGAAGGAGGGATCCCTGCATAGTTTCTACAGCATCAAAAGAATCTTGAGGTAGGTACAGAGGATTTATCAACATATATATATATATATATATACACACACACACACACACACATATACACACACACCTATCATGTATGCATGTGATGTTTTAAAAACTCTATAAATATTTGAGTTACAAAACGTATGACACAAACTTATTACCCTACGTTCAGTATACTATTATTTGACATTCTGGTGTTTGCACTTTTCCAAGAACTATGCTAAAAATAAAAGGTAAAGGAAACCAATCACTTCTTGCCTCCAAATGGTGTCATACTCACCTATACTTAATTGATTTACAAACTCAAACATCTGTTATTTTCAAGCCTGTGAATTATACCAAATGACTTAGAAAAAGAAAAGCCAAAGCTTAATTTGTTAGTGAAACAAGGCCTTTCTTGAAATTCCTGTAAACTTTCATTCTGCAAAGCAACTCATCCACATTAAAATGGTCAAAAAGGACTTCATTTAATTAGTGATATGTAGACTTTTGCATAGAAAAAGGTTACAAAGTAATGCATAGAAGACTAAGTACAGTAATTTTTAAAACAAATATTTAAAAGTATAATTTTGCATAATGTTTAACATTCTCATAATGTTTATTGCTTTCTCCACACAGCAGAGAAATGAAGTGCATAATAATACATGCTGTGTCTTTGTCTTTCAAACATAAAATCTCATGTGCTCAATTTCAAAGTATTAAGAGATTATTTTGTCGTTAAACAAAACAAGAACAACAAAACCAAAACACATTATGTAGCACTACTCTAGGCATGGACAAAAATAATTTATGTACATCCCATTGAATACATTCATCTTGATTTGGGATCAAATGCAATCACAAGCCTGACAACGGACGTTTAAAAATCGTGGCTTTTCTCTTACCATCGTTCTCTCCCTGCCTCATCACTTCCAGAAATGCAACTTCTCTCCAAAAGGTGACAATAGATTTTACATGTTATTGGGATGAAATCAAGAAGATAAATATGTAAAAATTGTCCAAATGATACAGAATAAATTAAACTTTTACAACTGGAGAGTTTTCAAGTTGGCATGAGTCAGATAGCCTCTGGTGGGCACATAGTAAGCACTTGCTTCTAGGTACAATCTATAAATGCATGGTTTATATAAAGAAGCACCACGTTTTGAGCCATGAAAGAAAATGCCTGGGGGTTTGCAGGCAGGGCAGAAATGCTTGTTAATTTGAGCACTGATGTAATAATTGCTTACACGAATGCATTGCTAAATGTCACCACTTGGCAAGTCTGTACAAAGAAAGCAAACTAAGATAAAACTAGGACTTTCAACTTGAAAATTATTTTCAGCAATCCTTTTGGCCAATAAAAACCTGCTGGTTTCAACAGAACGCTCTTCTCTTGTGTTGTACTAAAGTATCTGCAGCCTAATGCAGGACTTCAGTCCCTTATCCTTTCTTAGCCCAACCTCTACACTCTTCTCTACTTGTGCAATGTTGTATGTTCAAAAGAAAAATTTACTAGCTCAGGCACTTATGAAACACAAATATTTTTTCCCATCTAGTTTCAAGAGAATTGAGTCAGGTCATTTTTCTTCCCCAATTCAGACATCCTGATGCACTGCTGAATGGTATGGTCCATATATTTTCCAGGAAACGTCTAAATGGAAACAAGTGTGAAGTTTTCAAAAGTTACTGATGTCAAGTTACCAAATCGCCTTAAACCGAAACAGAGAGAAAAAAAAGATAATACCACATTTCCACTTGTGAGGTTTGTGTCTCAAACAGCTTGACTGTTCTCTGTGGGTCTGCAGACATCTCTACGGCTACTTCCAGGGTTGCAGAGGTTTTAAGCTGACTCGGAAATGAAGGACATTCAGTTGCTACTGCGAGGAGTTCCGTGAAAACTTAAAAAGCTCCTACTTCTGTGCCCCAGGGTCGATAAGGTTTACTGTTTGTCCCACTGCCCGTCTGCTGAGGGCTGGACGTGGCTGATACCGACAAGGGCGGGCTGATGGCTGTGGCAGCTGCCACGGCGGCAGCTGCGTTTGGGGGGAGCATGGGGAACGCCCCGGCGAAGGACAGAGGGAAGCTGTGCGCAGCTGCGGTGGCTGCGGCCGCGGCCGCGTGGACGGTGGCGGAGAGGGACAGCAGAGACGTGGAGAGAGGCGGCACGCAGGGGGCAACGCTGCCCGTCGCGGGCATCCGCAGGGCGGAATCCGCGTGGGCGAACGTGGCGGTGAGGAGGGCGGAGCCGTGGGCAGGAGGCACTTCCGAAGTGGTGGACAGGCGACAGGGCGTGGACTCCGAGGCGTGGAGTCCGTTGGGCTGGAGTAGGGCTGCCGGGAGGTGGTGGAAGGCCGCCGCCCAGTGGTGCGGGTGCAGCGGGTGATGGTGGTGGGCCAGAGAGGAGGTCATGGCCGCCGCCTCCCGCTGCGAGGCGCACGAGCTGAGGTGCGAGACCAGGCGCATGCGCAGTGGGTCAGAGGAGTCCAGGCCTTCCACGGAGCTCAGGTACCTCGCCACTTCCGTTAGGCACTCCCGGAAGCCGATGCTCATGAAGTCCATGGCAAGGGCGTGTGCGTCAAAGTAGCCTAAACGGGGGTTCGAGCACAGTGCGGGCCAGCAGAGACAGCAAGGGAGACAGAATGATAACCGTTAATAAGGGTCACCACCAACTACGTTCCACCCTCTTCTTCAGAGATTTAAGTACAACTAGCGATCCTCCCTGAAGATGTTGCCAGCTATTTATGGCCGTAATTTTTGCAGCCGTTAAGAAAGTGTACTTTGCAATTCACATGTGTGACAATTCTGGTAGTGCTATACACTACAGCTGTTCTTGCAACCAAATATCACAGCGGGGGAAAAAAATTAAGAACATCTGTGTTTCAAACACTTCCAGGAAAAAAAAATGGTGTCTCTCTTGTATGGTGGGACAGTGAAATTCTCTAGTAAACTTTTGCACGGCTATTACAGAGGACCCGTCTCTCTGTCTCTGTCACATGAGTTAGAGATTAAAGGGTTTATCGGAAACATCCTCACTCTTTCGGCATTTGTAGCAGAGATGTGAAAAGCATACAAGCAGATTGAGGACTTTGTTAGAAATGTGCTAGAACTGCTTAATAAAGTCATACATGCTTCGTGACTCATGGTGGTTGTTTTTTTAATGGACAAAATGAAAACGCCATTCTTTGTATGAAAAAAATTTAAAGAAAGCAAAATGATTTTTAAAAATGTGGCTACTCCCACCATACCACACACAAATACGAACAGGTTATATAGTGTGTTGATTTTCAATTAGCCTGGTTGCAGGCTCCTCAAAGGTATAGTATTTGAGTTTTTTGTCACTGTGCTGTTTCCCTTCAAGGCCAGTTTGTTGTAGTGTTTTAGTAGGGTTCTCATAAATGGTGATCTATAAAATATGGCATTTTTTCTAGTAAAAAATTCAATTCACACACACACACAAAATGTGGCTACTAATTTGAAGGTAAGATTTTTCTATCAGGTAATATGAGGCTCCTTGGCTGACATGAGGTTACTATAACTCCTAGCTTTCCTGAAGTTCAAATATAAATTTCTTTCATTGGTTAGCTTAGTTTAAGTTTTTTTTGGCATTTATTCAAGAAAAAAATTATGTTAATTATGTCAGTGTGTATGCATGTACCCCTACACATAAGGTTATTATCATAAAAATGGCTAAAGTCCATCACATTTATGAGAATCTCTTTTCATCCAAAGATAATACATTAGAATAGAAAATAATAACATCTGACTAGTATCAGTGCCCATTTAGGGTACTGATAATAATCAGAGATTTGGGGAAATGTCACCATTTTGAATTAGTAACCTCTAGTATGTACAAACATATCTTTCTCAGATTTTTTTTCTCACTAGCAAGTTTTTTTAAAAAACAATTTTTAAAATTTAGTTTACTTACTTTGGGGATGTGTGTATATATAAATGACAAATTCAAACTAGGTTATTTTCATCTAAGGCATCTACTGTATTATCTTTTTTGTTTTTGTAGATCAAAGTATTACCTGTTTCATTTATCATCTATTAACATTTAAACTAACTTATTCTATAGTTTGACTTGGAAAAATAGTAGTCACAGTATTCAAAGTCCAAGAGCTAGAATTCCAACAGAACTTGGAAGTCCCAAAAAAGAAATTTTGGAGAAAATATATACATTAAGATAGTAACAACACAAAGCTGACATAAGAGAATATCATGAAATGTGGAAAATAAGCAACAAAAATCGTTATTATCCCAGGCCTTCAGCACAGTTAGCAATAAAGCCCCTGACATTAGGAGGTAAAGTTCTTCCTGAAGAAGATGCCTTCAAAGAAAGATTTCACATTAAGTGTCCTTAGGGTTCTCTGTAAGGCTTTGCAGACTTCTGACTTCCATGAGAGAAGGGAGGTAATCATTAGAATAGACAAAGTCCAGAAATCCAGAGGGATCTAGAAATTTAGGTTACTCTAAATCTTCTCTAGAAACTATTGCCTTAGCAAAACAGACTAAAGCATAGATCAAAAGAATTGAACCCCAAGAGCTTCCAAGAATTTTTCATGACTAGGCACAAAGTAATTGAAATTGGTGATTTGCTGGCTATATGTTGTTACACATGGCTGAGTTCTCTGTTGCATCTTAAGGCATATAAATTATATAATTCCTATTCTATTGCTGAATGCAGAGGGAAACGATGATGAGCAGCTGTTTCCTGTGACTGGATCTTGGGCCAAAAATAATAGCAGAGGGGTCCATGCCACTTCCATCACTGCTCTATGGGGCTTTAAGTGACTAAACTCACAACATTGTGAAGTAAACACTCTCCCTGTCCTCATTTTATAGATGAAGAAACTGGGCTTCAGAGAAGCTTAGTAACTTATATAGGGTCACAGAGCTTAAAAAAAAAAAAAATAGCAGAGCCAGGATTTGAAACCAGGCAACCTAACCGCAGAGTCTCTGCCCTTCGCCAGTACATTCTGAGGCCCCATAGCTGCTGTGAGTCTAACAATTTGCGCCCACACTGCCAGCCCCCCCCTCCCCCGAAGGCCCACACATTCTCTGGTGAGGTGACCTCTCCAATGACCGGGCAGTCAGGCGACTTGTATGGAACTTGCTCGCAAATGTCTGTTCACAGACTATTTTGGGAGGGATTTTTAGGACTGTTCAGGTAGCCGAGAATAGCAACCAAGATGGAACTTCATTTTTATACTAAGGCATAAGAACAATATTACTCTTTAGAAGTATAGCTCATGCCAACTATTTGAAACACTGATAAAAATTCTTAGCTTTACAGCTAACAGTGCCAAGAGAGGTAAAACAATCAAACCCCTTTCCCCTGAAGCATCTCTAACTCAATCAGTCTCCTAATATCTTGGGGTGGCACGTATAGACACAGAATCTTGGGGCTGCGGGGGCCCTTGAGAATTCAGTGCTGCTAGTACAGGCCTCCCCGTGTCGCTCAGCACCTCTGTCTCGGTTTAAAGGTGGGGGCACTGGCTAAGCTGGGTTGGATCACTGGCATCTACAATTTCATCCAGTTCTCTACCATGTAAGAATATTTGCATGCTTTGTAGAGGGTTACATTTTAATGAGAAGAAATCACAATTCCATACCCATTCAGTATGTTCATTCATGCAGGACGGTTCCTTGAGCAGGGACAACAGCGGGTAAGTCACACTGAGTGTGAAGGCAGCCCTTTACCATGATCACCCTCCACCTGACACAGGTAGAAAGATGGTGATGCTCAGAGCTCATGTTCCCCAGGTCCTCAGCTGGAGTTCAATACTGAAATACGTGGGCACCGATTGGTAAACAGCTATTTCCCTCCTTGCCTTGCTTCTGCTCCGATCTAGGGAAGAAATCTAGTGCTCTGCCCTAAAAGGCCAATGCCGAACAGACAGACTTCGTCTTTGTGGTACCCTCTCCTCAGCCAGTTATCAAATATATAGACCAGCACCCTTGGCTAAGATGAATACCGAAGGCCTTCTGGAGGGTGAAAAGGATACAAAGGGCAAAATCAAGTCTGATATGTGAGAAGTAAGATAACGAAATCTGAATGAATCAGCGTTCAGGATCTCACATCCATTTATACCATGAAGTGAGGGTCCGTCCCTGAGTGCCCTGGGCTATTCGTCCCTAAATCACTATCTGGTACAGAAGACATCTCTCCATGGCACTGGGCCAGGGCACCTGCTCCTGTTTGCTCTCTGCAGGAATGCCTGTTGCATCAGTGGTTTCCAGGACAGAGACTCACTACCTGCACTTCAAATGCTCTGTCTGGTCTAAATACAAGACCAATCAGACTCTGAAAACAACAATGAAAATTCACTTCTTTTGGAATAGCTGCTTGATACTGAGTCCTAGCCTTGATTTAATGGGTGGAGGGGAGGATGGTGGGGGAGGGAAAGAAGAAGAGAAAAAGACTGCCTCTAACCTCCTGTTTATGTTTGGATGTTTGTGTGTTTGTTTTGTCTTTGGTACAAATTCCAGCATGCACTTCTGAAAGTCCCAAACAAATCTCTGACCAGGCTGCTGTGAATGAAGCCTTACTCCCACAGTACTATGAAAGCAAACACAAGCCCAGGGTCAAGTGCTTCTTTTGTTCCAGAAGTTCTTTCCCACGAGTTCAATCCTGCCATTAGCATTGATTTCCACGGCTTTAATCTGGGACCTCCTATCTCAGCTTGTTAAAGAACTGTTCAACTATGACTTCCTTACAATCTTAAGGAGAAAAAAATGAAAAGAGAAAGGCAGAAAGCGGGGGAGGAATGAAGTCACCAACTTACCTTTACCCCCAGTTGCCTGCAGCATCTTTAAGTGATCTACTGTCATTTGAAGTATTTCAGCTTTTTCTAACTTTGCAGATCCCTGAATAAACAAATAATGAAGTCTCATAAATCCTATGGAAACAAATTTGGAACAATTTATCCTGAATGTTCATTTTCCCTCCCCCTAAGAAATTCTCAGTTTAATTTTTTTCACAGAAAAAAAATGAACTCCTTCCAAATTTCACATGAAGACACTAATTATGATACACCTAGTGACAGATATTTGCCATTTTAACTCTTAAAGAATAAAAGGTGTGATAAGTAATTTTTAATCACAAAAACGATTATACTAAGATCACTCCACGCAAACTATTACAACTGCAGAATTCTCAAACTTTGCATCAATCTCTGCCCTGGTTAATAATATACTTTATTAGGCGATATGTGATAGTCTTCCCCGGTGGCTCAGGCGGTAAGAATCCACCTGCAAGGTGGGAGACCCGGGTTCGATTCCTGGGTGGGGAAGATCCCCTGGCGGAGGGCATGGCTACCCACTCCAGTATTTTTGCCTAGAGAATTCCATGGACAGAGGAGCCTGGCGAGCTACAATTGATGGGGTCACAGAGTTGGACACGACTGAGCATCTAACACTATAGAGCAACTGACACTTAAGTCTGGATCAGTTGAATCCAACTCTGGAGGAAAAGGAGACAGGATCTCAGCAAATTATTGTTAAAAACATATTTTTCAAAAATAGAATTCTAAGATGCCTTTAAGGTAATTCATACTACACTACTGTAAGTAGAACCCAAAGTGCAAAAAGAGAGACTTCCAAAGTTTTTTTTTCCCCAATAACTACCAGCAGGTGTCACTGTAAATTCCAAGATCATAAACAAGGAAGCATAATCTACCTCTTTTATCTAGTAAGCATCAAAAATGCTTAAGGATATCTGAACGCTTTAAAACGGCTCTTAATAAAACTGTCTTGGAAGTATATTTTATGCCCATTCCCCCACTTTAAGGCACCTCTGGAAACCAACTGGAATACAAATGTGCCACTTCAAGCTGTCTCAGAGGGCTGTGGGTGGCTTCTAATTTCTTGGAAGAGCTAAATAATTAAATCAGTATGTTTTCTTGAAAAGGAAACTGAAGTTTATTTCAGGTTCCTCTGCTTTACTTGTTTTGTGAAAATTGTCAGCACCCAGCACATGGTGAGAGTGCCAGAGTTATTTAAACTGCTCGAAAGAACACTCTTCTAATCATATTGTGACACAGCCAGCTCACCAGGGTTGGTCGCCAAGCTCAGCAAATGGGAAAGCCTGTGTTTATGGTGACTAACTGCCAAACTACTGAGGTCTGCTTTTAAGGTTTGTTTTAAGTCAACAGTTAAGGGGGAAAAAAAATCTAACAACCCTCCCTCCTTCCCAAAAAATCACCGAACTGTTCCTCATAACTGTAGACATTTCAGTACTGAAAGTAAAAAATGTCATTGATTACTGATATTTTCATTTTCAGCATATTGTGGTAAATGCTACTCATCAAAACTACAACTTGCCCATTATATTTAGCTTATCAGTTTTAGCATGCAGAGTGGGTGCCTTTTTTCTTTTAAAAATGTATAATCAATAACATATGACACCTTGTACTTCTGTCCATGTTCAATTTTTCCATGAAGATGAACAGGAGTTTCAGTGAAAGTGACTAATAACAAAACTGCAGTTTCTGGATAATTTCCAAGGACTTTGTGGGGCTTGCTTTATAATGTTTGTGGTTCATGAAAAAACAAAGTGGAATAAACAAACAATGAATGTCTTATATCCTATTTGAAGTTAATTGAAAGTATAACATCTTCAACAAGGGTATGATGCCATGCTGTTTGAAAGATGCTGTTAGAAATCTGATCGTCAACCGTGGAGGCCGAGGGACAACCACAACTTTTCCAAAATGACAGAGGAAGATTTAAACATTTGGCTTCCTACTTTCTCAAGTGTGCAAAATATTTTTTCCTTTTTCTTTCTTTCTTTTTTTTTTTTGGTAAAGAAATACTTGAATTCTGAAAAGAATTTATGGCTAGTTTGATTTTTACCAAACTTTCACAATATGCCTCAAAATAAACATGATTCTATTAACCCAGGGATTAAAAATGAAACCAAGTGGTTTGGTAAATAAATTTTGTTAGTACTATTATTTAGGAAATAGAACGAGAGATGTTACTTCCTCGGCTTTGGCTATTTTTTTTTTTTTAATAAAAAAGCTTACTTGAAAGAATTAAAAATAGTTTGAGACAAAAAATGAAATTTCACGTAGATATCTTTTTCGTTTTTGTTTTTTTTTAAAGAAGACTACTACATACAGCTCAGTTTTAAAACCACTACTGGTATTCATAGAAAGAACAGAGAAAGCATGAACATGTTACCCTGAAGGGGAAAATAAGCTAGAGAATGGAAATGTTTTTCAACTTCATGATGGATTATGTTTTTAATAGTTTTGCCACAACAAAGCATTTTATTGAAATAGCTGCTGTGTGCCAGATCAGGGCACATACACCATTATTTTAATGAGCTTTAACAAGAACCCACATTCCCAGATGAGAGAATCAGATTTTTTGAGCTCTTTGGTGGGATGGTCAGGGGTGGGGGCAGCTTACTTGTTTTTCAAAAGCGGTTGGCACCAGTCGTCTCAACTCAGATAAACTGTTATTTATCCGATCTCGACGCCTTTTCTCTATTATCTATCCCCAAAAAGCAAAACAACAACAAAAGTTTATGAATACACAGATGATAAAATGATTCATAATGGAAAAATACAACTGCTACACGTTAGGCAGGATTACAGGAAACAAAAAGAAGAAAAAAAAAAAGAATCACATACCCCTCTCCTTTTCTTTCTTGCCATAATCTGAGATGTTGTTGTTGGCGAATTCGACCTAATCACAGAGCTAGTACTTTGCCTATGAGATAAGAAGAGTTTGTCAGGTGCTGTATGAACACCACTATTGTTTCTTCTGGGTGCTTGAAGGCACCCATGAAATAATTCAGAGAGAGAGCATAGTTCAGATCAGTGTTATTTTATTCTTAATTCTTATTCTTAACAAACTTTGCTTTCAGCCCTTTCATATCTTTTCAGGAAAGAATCATGCCATTTTTTTCTTTTAATGAGTAATCCACATGCCAAATCTACTGGCAGAAAACATCTCTAAACTTTTATTGGTCTCCCAATGAAATACTTATGGGCAGTCAGGGTGAGAAGTTAGATATTAGTACTTCCTAGTTCCACTCATAAAGGTTTCTTAAAAGTCAGCTAATCTCTAATAACATCCCTCCTCCTCCCTGAGGTCAGACCCACTAAACAAAGCAATGCTATTGTAAAATAAAGGCCATGTTTAGCAGTATTATCAAACAGATATACAGTCACTGTATGTCAAACTGCTGTCCCTAGATGCAGTCATTAAGATAAACAGAAGTTATCTATTTCAAAACTCCAATTAGTCATACGGGGGGGGGGGGGGGGGAATTCAATGTTTTCTGTGGCAATTTTCCAAAAGAATGACCCTAGATTAAATATGCCAGTAACAGAAAAATTAGATCAACTATTAGGTAAATATTTTACTTTGAAAATAAAACTCTTGGTGAGTATCTCTCAGCCTTCAACCTAAGCTTAAAACTCTGAGTTGTAACCCATCTTGAGTTTACTAATGAAAAAATATTTTGTATCAAAAGTTCAATCAAATCACTGCACTGTCACATAATTTTTATGATGCATTCTAGTTGTTATCTGTTTCTTGTCATAATTCATGGATACTCTGCTTTTTCATGTTCTCAAATTCTCCAGGTTCCTGTTATTTGTTCTTTCATTTTAGAAATCTTGCGCACACCAGGTTCTTATTACCTCACCTTCTCACTTCTGGATCTTATTTCTGAATTAACTGTTCCCCTCATTCCCACCCCTTCTTAACTGGTTTCACCTTTCACACATCTTTTGTTTTCAGATCTTTTTTTTTTAAGATGAGACAACAACACTTTAATAATTATAAGATACTTTGGAAACAATATTTCAAGTAAATATCTTTGCTTCTGCTGATTCCAGGCTAAGGTCTGTACATGTTAGAATAATATTGAAAGAAAATCAGTTTTCCAAAGGTAGAAAGAATTTTACTCTTGAGTGACAGCTGCTGATAAATAATTAAGGTGCTTCTGGGGATGCCAATTAGAAGCAATTATCATTTGACCCGCCTTGGCACTAAAACGCCTCCATAACCTCCCTCTGTCACTGCAGAGTGGAGGTCTGGCTTCTGTGATCACGACCCCGATCTTTTCCAGACTTAGGAACAAAAGTAGTCAGAGAGAGGATGCCCGAAAGACTTGTCACTCACACCTCCGTCAACCAAATTACACTCGACCAACCTGGAAATCTCAACCTACTTAGCCTTCCCATCGCTAACTGCTTTAATTTCTCCAAAAAGCAAGTCATCTTTTAGCGTCTTTAAATATTAAAACAATCTCCCCTTCGCCTGGCCCATTTTGAAAGTGCTTCCCAATACAGTTTTGGTGGAGGGGGCGTCGCGGGTCGCCCGGACTTCCCAGTCCGCGTGCCCAACGCTGACAGCCGGGGGACCCTTCGCCATCCCCTGCACACTTTCAGCCGCGTCCCCCGTCTTCTCGCCCCACCCCTCGAGTGCAAACCCACATGCCTCGCCCCACCCCAACACGCACTCCGCGAGCGCCCACCACTCAAAAGTATTCCAGGCAAAACTTTCCCCCGCTCGGTTGGAAGGCGGCGGAGAAGAACCTCGGGATGTCCAACGAGCCGCTGGTACACAAAGCTCCCCGATGCCTCGGGCTCCGGACAGCTCCCGCCGAGCCCGCGCTCACCCCGAGTAATTGTTCTCGCTCCCCACGTCGATGGTCTCGTCCATGTCGCTCTCAGAGGTCGTCTCCTCGCAAGGGCGCTTCATCGCGGAGAAGACCGCGCGGGGCGCAGCCGGGCCGGAGCCACGGACGCCGAGCGGGACGCAGCGCCCTCCCTGCCTGCCTCCTCCCGCCCGCCCTCCCTGGGCCCCGGCAGGCGCGGCTCCGGCGACGGCGCGGTCAGCTCCTCGCGGCTCTTTCCCACGCCGCAGCCCAGCTCGGCCGCAAGAGCCGGCGCCGGCCACGCCTCCCTCCCCGCGCGGGCGGGGCCCCGTCGGCCGCCACCCGCGCGCAGGCCCCCGCCCGCTCCGCCGGGCACCGCCTCCCCGGGGCCAGCGTGACCTGGGATTGGCTGAGATGGAGGGGCGGGGCCGCGCTGGCCAATGCGGGCCGCGGAGCTCGGGCTTGAGGCGTGGGAACGCGGCCGCGCCTCGGCGGCCCGGGAGCTGAGCGCGGGTGGGGAGGCGCCGCGGTGAGCGGGAGCGCGAAGTTGCTAACCCTAGATAGGGAGGCGCGCGGACGTGGGCACGGGCGCCGGCGCGGGCGCGGCGGGGGCGGGCCGGCGAGGGGCGGGCTCTGGACCTCGGGTTTTGGCGCTCCTCCGCACCCCGCCGTCTGCCCGTGAAGTTTCAGCCCTGTGTTTAAAGAATAACCCCAAGCGCGTGGCTGAGTGTGAGCGAACGTGTGTGACGTCGGGAGGCGCCGTGGCTTAACCGAACCGCCCCACTCTACTGTCCCTTGTCTGGACCAAAACTGCTGACTGATTGACCCTGGCGGTCACATTTGCCCTCTGGGGTTTTTGGAAACCCTAAATCAAAGTTGCTTTTCTCCCTGGCAACTCGCACGGCTGCTTCCGCGGCCCCTGGGCCGAGAACAGATAAGGACGCGAGTTTCTCCGACCAGGTACTTAAAACCGCTGGCGGTCGGAGGGTCTGAGAGACAGGCCATCAAACGATTTTCGATTTGCTCTGAATCAGTTCTTTCTATTTGGCCACCCGGGTTGTAGGTTGTAAATAATAGATCCCGCTGAGTAGACCTTGGGTCGGAGTTGTCTACTCTGGTGACAGGAAGGACTAGAGCAATGATGCGGGTATTTTAGGACACAAGTTTAGTAGTTTTTCCAAGTTCGAGTTTTTCGGGCTTGGATGATCCAGATAGTTGCAATTTTCCACACTCCCTGGTTTGGGTAGTCACAGCGGTAGAGTTAATTAGGATCCCTACGTGAAAGAAAAGAAGAAAAATCAGGCTTGGCAATTTGTTTTCTAAAAGACGAATTCGTGTCCAGTTTTTTTGTGCATTGGACAGCGTGGGTTGTATACCATTCTAGATCGGCCCTCAAACGTTTTCAAGCTGCTCTTTCTCTCCATGATCTGAAGTATTATCTCTGGGACCGGCGGCTACGCGGATGTGTCTGCGAGGGCAGCCGGAGTCGGTTTGCCAGCCCGGGCGCCGCGATACCGGGAGGCGGGCGCCGGGTCGGTCCGGGTCAAGCCGAGACTGCAGTCACCGCGTCCGGGCAGCTCTGTGCTAAGTGCGGAAAAGCCTCTGAGAAAGAGGCGTCAGTCAATCGCCAGAAGCCTGCGCCACGGACGGATTCTTATTTTTCTGGGGATCTGCTTAGGGTGTCCCTCTCACACTGCATTCTCTTTCCTCACACAAGACCGGCGCGGGGCGGGGAGGAGATAGGGAAGGGACGCGACATAAGAAGGCCGAGCCCGGGCGGGAGCCGGGCAAGCGGAGAGCGCGAAGGACCTGCAGTCCGCGGGTTAAGCCCTCGTTAAACCACACAACCCTTTCCCCACAAACCCTCGTCTCTTTTGTGCGGTCCCCACCGCGGCGCCTGCAATAACCGTGTGAACAGAAACCCGAAACGTTCCATCCTGACTTCTGAAACTTAACACCGGGCAAAGCACACAGTCTCGGGGCGGGGTGGGGGGGAGGTGGGGGCAGGCCGGGCGGGGCCTGATGGGGCTGGACCGGGTCAGCTCGGGGCCGCCGGGGACGGTGACCCCCCAGCTCGGCTGTGGGCTTCTGCTCTGTGCGGGTCTCCCGGCCTTTGCTTCGCTGCCTCTCGGCTGCCCAAGCCCGCTGCTGGGAGCCGAGCGGACTCGCGTCCCTCCGGCTCCGACCTCCCCCGACGCCACTCGGCTCCGGGTCCTCCAAGCCCCTAGGATGAGCGGGTGTGCGCGGGTGGCCAATCGCTCCTCCCCGGCGGGTGCGCCGGAGTCCAGTCTGCGCAGGCCACTGGGGGACACATCGCCTCCGACCTGCGAACTCAGCCTTCACAACCTTCAGCGAAGGCTGCGCATTTTTCTGAAAGTGAATGCCTACAGGTGCCATTAACCTTGGCCACGCGATCAAATTAGCGGGCGCTTCCAAACACCCGGGGGGCAAAATCGTCAATGAAAAAACAAGTTCTTTCTCACTATACGGCTGCATTTAATTATAATAATTGCGAAAAATTGCAAAGAGGGAAATGACTGGCTTGCAATAAAGTTGCAACTAGTTAAAGTTTTTCCGTATTTGTCTTTGAAGACTTAACCACTGTACCCATGTTATAAAGAAAACTATGGCAAGGACGTTTGAAATGCACACGCGGATTTAATGTCACTTAGAAATACTTTTAAAACCAAAGAAGGTCGTGTTTTAAAAGCGTTTGGAACAGTGTCTGGTACATGGTACGCGCTATATACGTCTGTTAAATAAACATGAATGCTTAAGGCAAAAGACCTCGGCGTTTTGTACATAATCAAATTAGTAATATGCTCACTTATCTGCAACATACTTAATCGTTATTAGGCAGCTCGAGATTTTTCAATTAGGTCTTTTATTCCCCTTAAGTATCTTATTTGCCTATCCCCTGGTTAGGCGCCCTAACACTGAAAGAGCTTCTCGGGTCAGAGGAAAAAACAGAGGAGATGCCTTAAAACACACTTGAAAACGGTGGTGAATTGTCACCAGTCGGGAGGTGGCAGGGAGCGGGCCGAGGTGTAGGGGTGGCGTCTTCGGAGAGAAAGAAAAGAGAATGAGAAAACCGCGGGATTTCAAGCCTCATCGCTCCTCAGTGACATCCAGAACAGCGAAAGTTGGTTGAAGGCTTAGTAAGAACCCCGGCAGAAGGAAAGATGTCCGCGCGCAGAGCAAACGGCAGTTCGTTGCTTTTCAAAAATTTGTAAAATGAGATAATTAGACGAAAGATGTGAGGAACTTCCCTACAAAAGAAATGCCATTAGGAAAGAAAGGCTAGAAAGACAAATCTGAACGAAACGGAGGAGGGGAGACTCAGCTGCCTTCTCGAAATTGGTCCTCTCGACCCTTTTTGTCCTTCTGTGATTTAGCTCACTTAATGACGTGAGTGAGATGTCCAATGCCGAAATCTGGAAACATCAGACTCAGTGGTACCCATCCCCCCAAGTCTTCCCTCAACCATTTAATATAAAGTTGCAGTTTTTGCACCAAAAAACGCCTGGCCGCCTTGACCCTGTTATTTCTTGTCCCACAAAATTTGAGTCGTTGCATAAATTAATGAAGTGATTACTTTGCAGCATTCTAAAATTCTTCTTGCAACATTTTTGGAAGGGATCTGGGATCTTTTTTTATTCTTGGTCTGCTTTTTTCCTCATCAGAGCCCTCAGATTTTTCAAGATCAGTGATCACACTTCCTTATTTGTTGCTTCTCTGAATCCTTTGAGATGCAGCTTACAGTTACTTAAAAAGTGTCAGCCACTCCAGTGTTTGGGTTCATTAGAAAGTCACTAAGGCATGACACACTTTAAAAAAATGTTTTAGTCTAACTTTTTAGTGAAATAAAAGCAACTTTGTCATTTAAAGACCCTTGTGTTAGTCTGAGAAGGCTAAGTGTACATAGTTCAAATTGAGAAGTCTAATATTTTGCCTTTTTGGAACTACAGTTATCTACACAGCTTTTTCTTGCAAATGGAAGACAAGCAGTTCGTCTGAGATGTGTGTGCTAGTGTATTTGCAATTGTTGGGGCAGGTGACCCACGTCTCCAGGCAGCTTTGCTGGGCTCGCTTCTCTGACTACAAGGTTATTGTGAGCTGGCAACACTTTATAGTGTGTGAGAATGCTGCACCCTGAGAGTGAAGGCCAAGGGCAAGATCCTTGTAAATTTCAATAGCTTTTCCAACATCAGGCCAGCAGCAGGCAGGCCACCCTAGGGTCAGTGTGCGACTGGTATGTATTTGCAAGCCGGTAGAGCAAAACAAAGCTGAAAGCAAGGGTAAATTTAGGCCCACCAACCTTGAAGTCATCTCTAAAAGGGAACTGCTTTACCAGTTAACAATGATACTTGCCTGGTTAGCCACACAAAGTGCATTGTATTCCTTGGTTTGACCCAGTAGGTAACGCTTACTTGTTACATCAGAAGCTTTAATGTAGGGAGTCTTAAGACCCCAAACCCTATTTCTTGGGAGTTAGAATGTTTAAGTTGATCTATTATTAAAGGGGCAATTTATTAAAAAACTTTTATTTCATGAGTGCTATTATTAGTACTTAGCACATATCTGAGTATAAAGACTGGTTTTATTCCAGGACCCTTGAGAAGAGGGTTGTATAATTAAGTAACCAGTTTACCATATCCCTGAAAGCAACAATCAAAAGATAACTATACTGACTATATTAACTTCCTCTTTGTGAGGGTTAACTTGATGTTGGCAGGCTTTTCTTGTAAGAACATTCTTTTAAATTTTCATTTTCTTGAAGTTGGTTAGATTGACAAATTTTTCCTCTCTCTTACGAATACAGTAAGAAATATTCACTCCTCTTATGGACATCATTTTTTAACTAACTGCATCTCCATCCTTTAGACTAGAACAGTGCCTGACACCTAATGGATGCACAATAAATGGTTTGGAATGAATTTCTAATTGAAATGAATGAATTCTTTGTTTCTTTCCATATATATATAATCTATTAGATACATAAGAATAATAAAATGGAAATAAACAACTGTGAAGTGAAAAATCATGAAAAAAAAGTGATGAGAATATATTTAAATATGAACAGGAAAGCATTTATTATGATGGGCCTTTAGTTCACCCCTGAGCTTCCTGGCAGCCAAGTCAGAAAGGGAAACATAGTGAGTTTTCTAATTCTTATAATCAGAAAAGAGAAAGCATATTATGTGTCAAAGAAAACTTTATCCAACTGCTAAATTCTAAAACAACTACATGATTGCCTTGTTCACA